AATGAAACTGTATCTTGTTATATCTTTCATCTTTCTTGCTTATGCTTATGATCTTACCGGAGAGACAGTTGTACCTTCTTGACCTTGATTTGACCATCGATGATCCAGCAGTACTCGGGAGTTTTGCTCCTTGTCGTTTCCGTGGTTCTACAATTCTATAGTTCCTGTCACTCCTACTTCCGTCGCATCATCGGGCCCACCATGTCCACCACGGACAGTGAATGTAGTTCATATCAATTCAGAAACGACTCATTCGGAAGAAGCATATGTTCAAGTTACGTGAAGGCAGCACAGCGGGAATCCCACCTGCTCTATCACCTTCACCTATTTGACTTGGTAATGGTAATTATTTAGCAGGAAAGATCATGAGTCACATTGTATTGATTTCTGTTCCTTTGATTAAACTTTCATCAGTTGTTAAAGTTTCCAAATCTCATAATTTCATGTGAAATTTAGTGATACCTTTGCTGGGTTTAGGAAAGACTTGCATGCCTCGAAAGGGGAATCGTTTAGCTGTTTTAAAATCATATACACTCTATGATCTTTCCCTATGTCTTTCTTCTTTCTGTCTTGTTGTTGAGGTTCAAACATCATAGTCTGGCGTAGGTCATGATAAGAGTGCCAGCAGGAAAACTTTTAATCGCGGAACAAACTACCAGTACTTTCAAGTCGGCTATGAGTGGTGAGAAAAGGTCAAGGACGGAACAAAAGGCCGTCAGTGTTGAGAAGTGGATGTGGCGAATGGGGGAATCGAACAGTGGAGTGTGATTCGGTGTAAAGAATCCGGTGTAAAATTACCCGCTTGCCCCGCTTCGGTGTAAGAAATCCGGTGTAAATTTCAACTTTGGCCTGGGCACAAGACTTTTACACTGTTTTTTTTTGCACAGCATTTTCCGGTGTAAATTTTCCAGTGTAAAATTAAAAATCACGGCCGGGCAGAAGAGTTTTACACTGTTTTTTTTACACTGCTTTTTTTTACACAGTCGAAAAAAAATTGAAACACGTGTAAAATTCGAAAATACCCCCCCTTTTCTCGAATTTTACACCGGATTGTTTTTACACCGAAAGAGTCGGTGTAAATGACTCGGTGTAAAATTCCCCCTCCCCATAACATACTACTTCAAAGTCAATTCTTCTAAAGTTCAATAAACATTCACTCGATTCAGAGTCCAATAAGCTAATCAACCTTTACCATTCTTTTTCAATTCTATGGCATCAGGACAATCAGGAAAATTGACTATTGTAGAAAAATCATTCAACAAAACGGATACACTCAAGACCAGCTCTTTCCATTCAAAGTAACAATGTACAACAACTGAGACCTTCCTGTTCTCAAACTTCTTGGCTTCATGTTTCAAATCAACTGATCTCTTGTAACTAATTTTTATCACAGTCTCCCTTTTTATCCAACTTTATCTTATCCACAGATTGCTCGATCGCTGGCTCAATCACATGTCCATATCATAAGTAATACATACATTTATTCAGCTTCAGGCCTCACATTCAGTCATATCTACATTTTTATTACCTTCAATACAAAGAGCCCCATCACCTTCAGATCTATTTTATTTAATTTAATTCTTTATCTCTCTATTTTTCAACTGTACTCTCCCAATTTCATCCTTCCTATTAGCTTGATATATGTCTGTACTTAGTATTTAAGAGTATTTGGCAACACAAATAGTAGATGAACTATGGTATGCACAATTCTGCCAGCAAAGAAACTGCCAAGCCCAATTCAAGTGGGCTGGCTATTGAGACAAAATAATGCACAATGAACCTCAAGGGGAATCACTCAACCTCTCATTGGGTGATCAATCTTGCACACTTGTCACATCAGATAACTCACCTTGTCACTGTGTGAGGAATTCCACCTGATTATGATGTGAGATGCTCACCTTGTCATGATAGGGGTCAGATTGGGTGAATCTCACACTGGTTGGCACGTGTAACTCACATCGGGTATGACGATGT